GGGTTTATTTGCGTTAGAGTTAGGGCTATTTGGGTTAGGGTTAGGGTTATTTGGGCTAGGGTTACGTTTAGGGTTAGGGTTAGGGTTATGGTTAGTTCGGTTAGGGGTGGGATTATGGTTATTTGGTTTATTGTTAGTGCTATATCTGTTAGGGTTATGGATAGTTGCGTTATGTTTAGGCTTGGGTGTATTTGCGTTAGGGTTGGGGTTATTTGGGTTAGTGTTAGGGTTAGAGTTAGGGTTAGGGTTATGGTTAGGGTTAGGGTTAGGGTTAGGGTTAGTCTTAGGGTTTGGGTTAGGGTTTGAGTTAGTTCTGTTATGGTTGGGGTTATGGTTATATGGGTTACTGTTAGTGGTATTTCTGTTAGGGATATGGATAGTTGCGTTATGTTTAGGGTTGGGTTTATTTGCGTTAGGGTTAGGGATTATTGGGTTAGTGTTAGGGTTAGGGTTAGTGTTAGGGTTAGGGTTAGAGTTGGGGTTAGGGTGAGGGTTAGGGTTAGTCTTAGGGTTTGGGTTAGGGTTTGAGTTAGTTCGGTTATGGTTGGGGTTATGGTTATATGTGTTACTGTTAGTGGTATTTCTGTTATGGTTATGGATAGATGCATTATGGTTAGTGTTGGGTTTATTTTCGTTAGGGTTAGGGATATTTGGGTTAGAGTTAGGGTTAGGGTTATTTGGGATAGTGTTAGGTTTAGGGTTAGTGTTAGGATTAGTTCGGTTAGGGGTGGGATGATGGTTATTTGGGTTAGTGGTAGGGCTATTCCTGTTAGGGTTATTGTTAGTTGAGTTATGGTTAGGGTTGGGTGTATTTGCGTTAGGGTTAGGATTTTTTGAGTTAGGTTTAGTGTTAGGGTATTTGGGCTAGGGTTAGGTTTAGGGTTAGGGTTATGGTTAGTTCGGTTAGGGGTGGGGTTATTGTTAGTTGTGTTAGTGTTAATTACATTTCTGTTAGGGTTATGGTTTGTTGCGTTATGGTTAGGGTTGGTTTTATTTCCATTAGCGTTAGGGTTATTTGGGTTAGGGTTAGGGTTAGCGTTATTTGGGATAGGGTTAGGTTTAGGGTTAGGGTTAGGCTTAGAGTTAGTTCGGTTAGGGGTGGGGTTATGGTTATTTGGGTAAGTGTTAGGGTTAGGGTTAGGGTTAGGGTTAGTGTTAGGGTTAGGGTTAGGGTTAGGGTTAGGTTTAGGGTTAGGGTTAGGGTTAGGGTTAGGGTTAGGGTTAGGGTTAGGGTTAGGGTTAGGGTTA